CCACTGGCGCACAGCCATGGCTAACGAATTTCTTGCTCTTCAACAGCAAGGCACTTGGTGCTTGGTTCCTCCTCCAATCGATACTCTTATCCTAGGCAGTCGCTGGACTTATAAAACCAAGAAAAATTCTGACGGATCCATCTCATCCTACAAAGCTAGACTTGTGGCACAAGGTCATCGTCAAGAATATGGATTACATTACAAAGAAACTTTCAGTCCTGTCGCAAAATTTCCCACCATTCGCATTCTCCTCACCATCGCTTTCACAAATTCTTGGCACATTCATCAATTAGACATTGCAAACGCCTTCTTACACGGCTCTTTAAACGACACTGTTTACATGAAACAACCTCGTGGATTCGAGGACACACAATATCCAAAACATGTGTGCCTTCTTAAAAAATCCCTCTACGGCCTAAAGCATGCACCTCGCCAATGGTTCCATACTTTTTCAAACTTTCTTTTCTCTATTGGCTTTCATTCCAGCTCATCGGATCCTTCTCTATTTATAATAAATCAGGATGCTAATCACACCTATCTCCTCATCTATGTTGATGATATTCTCATCACCGGCTCCAATTCTTCATCTCTTCTTCAACTCATATCTTCACTCAAAACTCAATTTGCTGTCAAACATCTTGGATCCCCTAACACCTTTCTCGGCATCCAGATAACACATCACCCGAACTACTTATTCCTTTCTCAATCAAACTACATCAACAAACTTCTTGAGCAAACCGGTCTTAGCAAATGCAATGTCATCTCTAATCCATCAACAACCAAACCTCCCGCGGACACACCTACAGATTTTCTATCCACAAATTCTACTCATTATCGTCAAATAACTGGCTCACTTCAATACGCTACTATCACAAGACCTGATATCGCTTTCGCCGTCAACACTCTATGTCAACACATGCACTCACCTCTACCGAAACATTTTCTTTTGCTCAAACGTCTTCTTCGGTATCTCAAAGGCACAAAAGATTTTGGATTACCTATTTTTAAAACTAATCTTAAGCTGACAACCTTTGTAGATGCAGATTGGGCGTCCGATCCTCATACTCGCAGATCAACCTCCGGCTTTTGCACATACTTGGGAAATAATCTAATCTCATGGACAGTCAAGAAACAACAAACAGTGGCACATTCATCCACCGAAGCAGAATATAGATCCCTAGCATCCGCAGCAGCCGATGTTATTTGGCTAAGAAGAATTCTGTCTGATTTCCAGATTTCTCTTCAAGAGCCCACGGTTCTTCACTGCGACAACACGTCAGCAATCGCGCTGGCCAATAATCCGGTCTTTCACGCCCGCACAAAACACATTGAAGTCGACTGTCACTTCATACGAGACCACATTCAACGTGGAGAAATCTTCGTCGCGCCCATCAATACAACAGATCAAACTGCGGATATTCTTACAAAATCATTAGTTACACCAAGATTTATCACACTAAGATCTAAACTAACGGTTCAAGAACCATCCTCAGTTCGCGGGGGAGTAATAACACATCAGCCCATGGATTCAAGAAAGGACAAAACAGAACAAGTGTACGGCTAAAGAAAGACGTTGTAAGCCTATCACCTGTGTACATATGTAAATCCATTGGTCTATAAATACAGACTCATTATATACATTGTAGTACAGATTTCTTATTCTAATAAAACAATTCTTTATCAAGCTATGTCTCATCTCTCTCTTTATATAATAATAAATTTATTTAAGCAAAATTTAATTAATTCATTCCAAAAGTTAAAGATTTAAATATTTACTAACTACTTAGATTTATTTTAGCCCGTTTCATAAATCCCGACTCCTCATCCGTCTCCTCCCATCAACCAAAACCTCCGTACCACAAAATACAAAAAAATTATTAATAATCGCATTCAATCATCAATCCCATAAAAGCAATTGTCATTATTCAAATAAAAATAAAAGATTCGTTTGGGACCATTTTTTTATTAATTTTTAAAATAATTTTTCAGTATAAAAATTTATATTAAAATTTTATTTTAGTGATTGCAATCTAACTGAATTCAAAATATACTGATTGCAATCAAACAGAATTCAAATTAAAATAAAATAATATGAAATTCACGGGTTCAAATATGTTCAAATTTAAATTTTAAAATTAAGTTTAATTTAAATAAATTTAATTTTGATAAATAAATTAAGAAAATTAACATTTTTATTAATTTGAGGATTTTTATTTTAAATTTTAGTAATTTTTTATGAATATAAGAGATTATCTCTTATTGGGGTATGTTAGTTCAAAAAATAAATTAAAGATATTCTAAATAATTTTTTTATTATGATAGTTTTATATTTTGTTTGGGATTATTTTTAGTGCAGTTTTGTAGTATAAAAATTTTTTGAAAGCAGGGAAAAATAGTGATCAAAACGTGGAGAAATTATTATGTGCGAAAATCAGACGTAGATCACCGTCAGTAGACCAACTAGATTGCACCACCATCTGTATTACTTTTGTTAATAAGGTAAAATAACACAGCTCAACTTGGTATGTTGGTTGGGAACTTTGGTCATTAAGTATGAACCAAGATGTATGGTTATGAAGGCATATGACCGACATTATTTGTGGATAATATATGGTTGGCTTGCTCGGCTGATCCTTCTAAAAAAAAGTATCAACCAAGATGTCTTGGGTTCGAAGCTTGCGTATGTGATGTGTGTATGAATTTGTCTTCATTAGCTCAAATGTCTCAAAAGATAAGAGAAAATTATATATATATTGCATGTTTAATGAAAGTGAATAATATAAGTCACTTTTTTTATGTTTTAGAATATTTATAATAATTTAAAAATAATTTAATATTTTAATTTTATATGAAAATCAAACACACATATAGGTAACAAGAATTGTATAAGCCATTAAATGATTTGATCACATGAAGTGTTGACCCAATTTGGAGAGTAGATTTATTAAATCAGACATATGCTAAGAAAGATAAAGATAGACCTAAAAAGACTTGGTTAGAAGATATTAAAAATGATATTTTTATTAGATTTAAATGAGAGTTTGAATCCTAATAGGACATAATAGAGAAAAAATGATTCATATTGCCGACCCTACGTGTTGAATAAAGATTTGACGTTGCTATAAATGTTAAAAAAATTTAGGTCAAAATTGATAGGTAATGGCATCAAATAAATGTATTACGTAATTTAGGATTCGTTTGGGACGGCTTTTTTATTACTTTTTAAAGCAGCTTTTTAGTACAAAAAAATAAATTTTTGCACTTGAAAGTTATTTTAAAAAGTAGCAAAAAAGTCATCCCAAACGAAACCTAAGTTGATAAATAATGTAAGAAAGTTTGAAATAGAGTAGATGGTCAGGTAGATTTGTTTGGTGGTTATTTAGTGATTAGTGAATCAAGATTACTATTTTATATCTCAAAATAGCCTTCATTTAGAGACATTAGGAGGAGTAAAAAAGAACAACTCCTTGTTTCCCCTCTCATGTTTTCCTTTTGTTCATCTGAAAATGTCGGCAAACTCGAATTCATCATTTCTTGTTATCATCCTCCAGGTTGTGACAAATAATTATAAAGAGAAGAAATCACAATGCATAGGTTTTATTTGGGATAATTTTCTTATTGTTATCTAAAACAACTTTCTATAATTTTTTGTAGTAGAAAGCTGCTTTAAAAAACAATAAAAAGGTTGACCCAAACAAAGTATTAGATGGTCTTAAATTTATAGGACGATTTTCTTACTGCTTTCTAAAACAACTTCTTAGTATAAAAACTTTGATACTAAAAAGCTGCTTTAAAAAACAGTAAGAAAGCCATCCATAACAAAGCCTTAATTTCAAAAAAATTTTGACTAATTATGATAAGAAAAATAATGCATCAATCATATTTTCCTTTGAAACAGATCGCCGAATAGACGGACAGGCACAGGCAGAAAGCTGGCGCTTCTGTTAGAAGACAGAGCAAATGGTCCTTAACGACCATCTAATGGACCCAGCTTATCTATCGCAGTGCATTCTCCACAGACCGGTCCACGTTAAGGCCAGTTCCACCCACATGGCCATTTACACCTGATGTTCCCATCCCACGCTTCTACAGAGAACCCAGCCTGGCCTTTCATTAAAAAAATAAATTATTTTTCCTCTAAATCTGAATAAATATTTTATATTATCCTATGATAAAAATACCGCCTTAAATATTAAGATTTATAACTTTATTATTTATGTCATCTAGAATTTACTAGAATAAGTATAGGTGTATCAATGCCTTCTCCAATCAAGCTTATGATTGCGGAGCTTCCGCATGACTTTGAGCTCCTGATTGGACTCATTTATGTCTTCAACTCTTCATCTGTGAACTAGGGGTGTTAATAAACGAGTCGACCCGTCAACTTGGTTAGGTCTCGACCAAAAAAAAAATTAGGGTTGGGTCGATTCTTGTAATAAACTAGTTAGACTTTGGTTGTTTATTTCGACCCGCTTATTAAATGGGTCAGTTTCAGATTGACTCGTCAATCTAATTTTGACTTGAAAATGACTCAAATTGACTTCTTATTTTTAATCAATTAATCTAAAATTTATGGAAAACAAGTTAATATTTTTTTTTAGATTGGTAATCAGGACAGGTTCGTTTTGCTAGTATGTCTGTTTTGAGTTCATCTTTTTTGACCTGTTTATTAAACGGGTTAGGCTCGGGTTGATCTGATTAGGGTCAGATCAATTTTGAGTTGTATCTGAATCCGACCAACTAGCCTTTTTTTTTTTTACACCACTACTGCGAGCTTGTGTGTGTTTTAGGACTATGAGGGTGAGAGGTGGCAATGGCGACTTGTGAAGGGCGAAGGGTGGTCCGACAACAGAAGGCGGTAGGACCTTATAATAAGAGGTGTTATATTTTATTTTATTTTATTTTTATGTTTTGAATGCTATATATTTACTATTTAGAATAATAAAGTTTATATATTAAATATATGAATTTTAATATTTTAGATGCTATTCTATGAATTCTGAACAGTACTCTATCTTATTCTATAATAAGGAAAATCTTATTAGTTCCTTGTGCTACTGTATGATTTCCTCTTACCAGATCTCTTTCCTATTTAGCAACTAATGCACCAGAGGAGAAATTTCACAGAGCAACAAAGAGACCAGATTCGTAGAGAGTCTCAGAAGTATATCTATATATAGATACCTTCCCCATGATTTCTCTCAGCAGAAAGCTTTAGAATATGGGAAAGGCAAGAAAATGGCTTAGAAACTTCTTTGCAGGGAAGAAGGCGAAGGAGAAGGGTGGAGACTCAACTCCTAACTGGCCTACAGAAAACAGATTTTCTCCAGTGCCCGATACAGCAACAAAGGAGAAGAGATGGAGCTTCAGGAGATCTATGGGAGCTTCAAAGGACTTGAATTCCACAGAGGCAAGTTTTAGTGAACCTTGCCATGGATTATCAGACTCTGAGTTTGATCAGAAGAGGCATGCCATGGCTGTAGCAGTGGCCACTGCAGCTGCTGCAGAAGCTGCTGTGGTAGCAGCACAGGCTGCCGCAGCTGTAGTTCGGCTCACCAGTAAAGCAAATGATAGAACAACGAGAGCCATTGAGGAGAAATCTGCCATCAAAATCCAGTCTTTCTTCAGATCTTATCTGGTACTCTGAATCAATAAACGTTTCCAGTTTATGCTTCTTAATTAAGAATTTGCCAGTTTTTTTTTTCTGTGAATGCTTGTCTTTTAATTAGCAGTTCATTCCTGAAAGAAAATAATGAGTTGCTTATCTACAAAAGCGATTCCACAGAAAGAGGAGTGTGGGAGCTCTTGCCTTGAGAAACATTCCTGAAAGAAAATTTATTAATGCGTTGCTCCCCTTGAACTTGTTTAAGTTCTTCATTTTCCTTCACTAAGAAATTCTTATTCTGCCACCGACAGTTCGTCCATTGATATATTTGGCTTGAATGAAGTAAATATCCACATATACCATCTATTTTTTTATATATTAATATAATAAAACCTATTTTTTATATTTATTTATATAATATTTTAATCTTTAATTCACATAAAAATATTAATTTTTATCAGATGAAATGTGCATTTTCATGTGCATGTTTTGATGTGATTGGGACATTAATATAAACTTTTAAATATTAAACAGGTAAATGCATAAGAATTATATAATATGCACGTAAATTCCTCTAATAATAATAATTGATTATTATTAATAATTGAGAATTGAGATGAACATAACTACCCACCGTTGCTTAGGTGGGCGTGCTCGGATGGGAACCCTCATCCCGAGTTTGATTCCCCTTGAGCGGCTTATGCCTCTTCAGTAGGAGCCCTAAGCGCCGACTGCGGATATAGTGGTGTGGGTGGCTTAGTAGATCAGTCGGGGTTTACGGACCGCCAAATGCGCTTGGCAATGTCAAGCGTGGCAGCGGAAGGTTCCTCGTCACCAAAAAAAAAGATGAACATAATTGATTATTATGAAGGGAAAATATTTATAAAAACTGATCATATGCAGGCAAGAAAAGCTCTAAATGCACTGAAAGGATTAGTAAAAATGCAAGCTTTGGTGAGGGGACACCTGGTTAGAAAACAAGCCACTGCAACCCTCAGATGCATGCAAGCACTCGTTAACGCTCAAGACAGAGCTCGAGCTGAAAGAATCCGTATGGTTCAAGAGTCACAATCTACACCACTAAGGCAGCAGAACTACAGAAGATCACCACACCATCCTTTTGTAAGTCAAATTTCTAAGGCTTTTAGAGCAACTTTTTTGTAAAAATTTAAAAATTTTATATTAAAAAGCTGCTTTAAGAAGCAGGAATAAAGTCGTTCCAAACGAAGTCTAAATCTTTATTCCATGCTCATCAGTTTTTGGTTTGAACTGTATAATCCAATTAATATTTCCATTAACTTTATAATTGTAGGAGATGGATTGTAATGAGGAAGAATATGTCAAAATTGTAGAGATGGATCTTGGTGGAAGAAGCTATTCGTTGGGAGAAACTGAAATAACTGATCAGAGGTTCTCTGCAAACAACTCTTCTTCTCGCACACCTTGCAAGGCTGATCTTTCCCCACAGTTCTCACCTAATCCATCAGCTTTAACTGAGTTCAATCCAAGGGACTTCGAAGAGTTTTCATTTCCCACAGCTCAAAATAGTCCACAACTATCTGCCATGTCCATGCCTGCACATACTTCTTTTGACTATCCTCTGTATCCCAATTACATGGCTAACACAGAGTCTTCCAGAGCGAAGCTGAGGTCCCAAAGTGCACCAAAGCAGAGACTTGAAGCATATGAGAGGCAGTCAAGTAAGAGAAGACAGACTATAGAGGGAAGAAATGTTCCAAGGGGGATTAGGATGCAGAGATCTTCTTCTCATATTGGTTTGTTAGCAAATAGTTATGAATATCCATGGTCCATCAGGCTTGATAAGTCAAATGCGTCACTCATAGAGAGTGAATGTGGTTCAACAACTACTGTAATGGCGAATAAGAACTACTGCAGAACTCTTGCAGAGCATGAGGTGAGAATGACTGATAAATACAAAATTTTTACTGTTTTATATGGTGTTTGTCGTTTCCTAAGGTTATCTTTGAATGAATGGTGTATTATTTACTGCTGCAGATCCATGGAATTGACTACTGACTGGTTCATTCATCCCCTCTCATCGTCTGACAAGTGTGATAGATGTGATTGTATAAAAGAAGGAAAAAATGGCTTCTCATCTGCAGAATATGTTTCAGGAACTTGCAAGTTTAAGTTGTTTTGGAAAACATTCAAGTGGAGATTTTGATAATGGTGTCAGGATGTACTAACTTATGTATCTACATAAACCATGAACTGAAAAAGCAATCAGGGAAAAAAATCTTTATTTTAGAAGATGTTATTGTACTCTGATTGATTGTCCTTCTGATAGAAGATACATAAGAACTACATTGTTAGTCCATTATGGTTCTTACTGCAAATATTTAAAACATATCTGGTAAAATTTCAGTAAATTTCATCCCATGTCTCAACAAGGATTAATTATTCTGTGCGGACACTGAATGCCATCCGGAGTTCAACCAGAATACACCATGTCATCTCTTTACTTGGTTTCGCGACTTGGTACTGCTCGGTACCACAGCTCGATACCGCTGAAGTGACGCATTCTATTTGATCTCCGGACGTCCGGTCTCTACACAGAATAATTTCTCCTCAACAAGTGAATGGATGTAGGATGTTTTTTCTAGATTTCTTGATCTTGATGGTGTAATTCCTGATCCAACCATCTGACCAACATACAAAGCTGCCTCAGATACATCAAAAAAAAAAAACTAACATCTCATCTTTCAATTTGATTTCCATGGCATAGCTGAGTTTAGAAAAGCTTTATCCTTTGCCGTTGCAGGAACATTGTGAAGTCCACCTACTTCTTGTAATCTCTTACAACCTGCCTACTGAATGAAATTAAGGTTGCTACAAGCTTCTCTTTGGAGCAATCTAGCGATGCTTTCACCATAAGTATACTATTATAATTTGACTAAAATAATTGCAAATATGTATGTTTGTTTTGGATATGAACAATCTTTGACAGAAACAACCTTTCATTTTGGCAAAATGAGATAATTAGGACACTAAGGTCTCGTTTGGGACGGCTTTCTTATTGCTTCTTAAAACAATTTTTTAGCACAAAAATTAAAAAATTATACTATAAAGTTGTTTTAAGAAATAGCAAGAAAGCCGCTCCAAACGAAGCCTGAGAATTGCCAAATTCACAGTGTCATGGCTGCAGCAGAATTTAGGAGTATTTCGGGGGTCAACTACCTGAGCTGCTTTTTTGACAGAAGATTGCTCATCCGGTTTGCCCCTCACAAAATTAGGATTACCTATATCACTTGACGCAGCAGAACTATTATGTATCTCTATATTCAAGGGGGGATCCACCTTCCTCCTAAAAAAATAAAAAACAATCTTGTTATATGATTTTTTAGGAAATTTGTCTCCCTCCATGTATTTTTTAGTCTTTATTACAAGAGTTTTTAGGCAATTGCCCCCCCTAAAAGTTTTAAAATACTAAAGTTTTTTAAACAATTGCTCCAACATAATTAACCACAATGTGTAAAGATGCTATTGTTAGGAAACGTTGAACCAAATACAAAGAGAATAAAAAAAATTTCTTACAATCAAAATTTGTGAAGCGTATAACGATGAACAAATAGGTGTCTAGAGGCAGCGTCCTCGGAACAAATTTTGGTTGTAAGGATATTTATGAAAAAAAAAATTCTACAATTTACTATAGTCTTTAAGCAATTGCCCAAACATAATTAAACACATTAAGTAGAGATGTTATTGTTAGGAAACGATGAACCAAATACAAAGAGAAATAGTAAAGACAATCCAAAAATATCCTTACAACAAAAATTTGTGAAGCGTATAACGATGAACAAATAGGGGTCGAAAGGCAGCGCCCTTGAAACAATTTTTGCTTGTAAGGATATTTATGAAAAATAAAATCTACAATTTTACTTATAAGTCCCCCCTCCCCCTTTTCTGAAAATTATGGTTGGATCCTCCCCTGTCTATATCAACTTATTATTTAACTATCTAATGTAAAACTAAACTTAAAGTCTCATATACCTTAATATTTTTTTTTTCCTTTTTTATTCGCTCTTTGCATTTTTGCATAAGTTTAATCTCTCTCTCAATGCTCTCTACATTGCATCAACTACTCTTCAAACAGAAGCGTCATCTGTATAATAGATTGTGCAATAAACACAATGGAAATAATCAATCACACAATAAATAGCACAAAGAATACGACGATTTATGTGGTTCAGTAAAGATGTCTATGTCCACGAGAAAGGGGATGTTTTCACTATAGTGGAGAACAATAGGGATTACAGACTAGTTTTCTCTTCCTCTCATGCATACAATACAATAGCCCTCAAGTCCTATTTAAAGATTTGAAACAAAGCTACAAATTAAACTTTAATTAATGTTATAATATGACAAAATCTAATCATGCCAATTAGATTCCCAATCATGTCAATTAAATCTCCAAATTTATGCAATAATTAAATCTCCTAATTAATGCATCAATCAAATCTCCTATCAAAGCAATTTAATTAAGAAAATAATCAACTTCTTAATCAATCACATAATGAGCCATCAAAGCCTTCCAAATCAAGGCTAATATAAAATTGAAAAGATTTTCAAATCAACAATATATACCTCATCTTTCACTTTAAAAAGTGAAATGGTGACAAACAAGGCTCCAATATTAGAATGATTGCACATAGATAGTTGCCTACGTACACCCCCTCCTAAGGGATCAAGCATAGCATAGTTCTTCAAATAAATGGACAATCAATCATGAGTCCTGAACAACTGTTGTGGTAACTGCCTCTTCAAACTTGCATCAATTGTACCCTTCAGATACCTCATGATAATCTTCACAACTTTTCAATGACTACTTCCTATATCATGTATGAATCTGCTCCCAACATCAACTGCTTTTGCAATATTTAGATTGAGCTGCTCCAAAATAAGATCATATTATGTTACAAGTGCCAAATAACCACAGGTTAATAGATTCTTAACCACTGAGGAGAACACCTCATGATAAGTAATCCATTCCCGCCATATAGATCTTTTTACCACCAACATAGCCTTGTATTGCACATCAGCTCCATGAGATTCTTCCTTCTTTACACGCATTGTTTCACCCAATGAGTTTTCTTCTTGGTGGTAACTTCCTCTAAGTAGCATCCTTCTGAAGTGACTCCATCTCTTAATGCATAGCCTTCTTCGAAAGATCACTATCAGGGTTGTCAACCACTTCCTCATAATGACTATAAACTTTAGCTTTCATGGTTGGAAGTGCAAATGCAATGTGATCCCTCAACCAAGTTGGTTTTAAAACATTATGGAACTTGAACCTATTATTCGTAATAGATTTCTGAGCAGGAATCACATCCTCAACTACATCTTCTACCTCCGGATATGTTGCTAAATCAAGTACATGTATAGAAATGATCTGCCTACATGGAGCTAGCAAATGTAGTTGCATGAAACTCAAACTTATATATTGCCTTTGTGGTCCCAATAGAACTCTCCACCTTCTCAGAGTCCCAAGGCTTCAACATGTCCGCCTCATCGAAAGTAGCATCCCTACTAATGACAATCTTCTTTTCTAATGAATCATAGAGTTTGAAGCCATTTGACTCCATGCCTAAAGATGATAAAGATCATCTTCTTTGCTCGTGCTTTTAATTTATCATTCTGAACATGATAGTAAGCTAGAAATCTAAACACTATCAAGTGCTCAAAATCTCTAACAGGATGTTCTGACCACATCTTCTTTGGGGTCTTCTAGCTTCCCAATAGCTGCAAAAGGAAAACGGTTCACCAAGTGGCATACCTAGTAGATTGCTTTAGCCCAGCAGACTTTATCTAACTCAGCATTGGATAACATACACCGAACTTTCTCCACCAATGTTTGATTCATCCTCTCTGCTGTCATCTCGTTCCGATGTGGTGTATTTCTAAAACTCTAACATTAAAGTGATGCTCTATCCTATATCTCTAGCACTCCTACAAGAATGCATCCAAAGTGTATTCTCCCCCTATTATTTGATCTAATACATTGGATCCTTTTGCTAGTCTAAGTTTCAATCAGCTTCTTCCAATTTATGAAAATCTCGAATGCCTCGCTCTTGCACTTCATAGTGTAAACCCAAACATATATAGAGTAATCATTAATAAAAGAGACAAAGTATTGCCACCCGTCGAATGATGTTGTCTTTCGTTGGGCCCCAAATATTTGTGTGAACATACTCCAAGATACCTTTTGTATTGTGGATGACAGTACCAAAGAATAGACATATATTTTTACCAAATACATAATATTCATAGAAATCAAGCTTATATGTGCTTTCTCCTTTGATTAATCATATCTTCACCAAAGTCATAAGAGAAGCATCTCCAGTATTAGCTAGTTGCATATGTCACAATGTAGTGACATCAAAAGAATCATTAGCAATAGCAGTTATTTCAATCAATGTTCTTCAGTAAAGGTAGTAAATGTTATGATAATAAACTCTTTTTAGAAGAACCAATGCTCCTTAATATAACTTAAAAACTCCTGCCTCAATGATTATCTTGTAGCCCTTGGTCTTTAAAGCCCCAACATACAACAAATTCCTCTTGATATCTGGAACGTGTTTGACATATATTAGCTTTCTCATAGTACCACCATGCATTATGATGATGATACTCCCTACATCAACTATACGATAAGCTTGATGATTTCTCATAGTCACAACACCAATCAAGCTCCCTGTAGGTGCAAAATCACTCTTTGGTGGGATAAATGTGATAGGTAGCATTGGTATCCAGAATTTAACTTGAACAATTTAAATACAAACTCTGAGAGTCTACATATATTGATACATTTGAATCTTTGTCATGCTCTTCTATGCTAAAATTTGCTTTCATGGAAACTCTCATTCCCTTCTCCTTAGTTTTGGCAATCTTTCTTCCAATGCCCTATCTCTAAGCAAAAAGCACATTGATTTTTCCTAAGATTGCATCTACTAGACTTGTCCCGCTTATTATTGGCGTCCCTTTTATCCATCTATTTTTTAGATATTATTTATTGGAGTGTGAGAGTCTTAGTTAAATCCATCTTTGCAAACTCCTGATCCCAATGTCAGAACTTTTTATTCAGTAATTCAGTAGTCACCCACCATAGTTCAAGACCTCATTCCCATGAATGAGTATCATCATGAAGTTTTCATATATATCCGAGAGCAAATTCGATAGAAAGAGCACCTTGTCTTCATCTACAACGTCCTCCACATCCAAATTCACAAGATCTGATAATAAATTTTGTGAAGTCATTCAAATGCTCATCAATTATAACTCTATGTATCATCTGAAACCTATAGAGTTCAGATTTCATGT